TTACTGTACAAAACTTGGATCACATTACTCTATTTTTCGGTCTCGCTCGCTTACAAAGACTCTCACCAAGAGCAAGCCTTTATACCTCAGCAATTTCCATTCGTTTTTAATTTTATAATGAATGTCAGTAAAAAATAATAATAAGATCTTCTTGGATTAAGTTAGTTTAGCTATCGATCGATTCAGATATCATCCATATATGACTTCTTAAAGAAAACCAAGCTTAATATGGTAAGGAAATATAATTTCTTGCATTTTGTGACGAAATTAATTCAAGCATAAATTGTATGACATAAAAAGAAATACTCCAGATCGGTTCACATTTCAGCTTCATTTCTATATATATGCTTTTTTGTTTGTTTTTTAAATGATCAATTACTCCGCGACATGGTTTTTATACATGCAACACCATGATGATCAGAAAGGAGTAGGAAGAGGGAGAGGGAGAGAGAGACAGAGAGAGAGAGAGTAAGAAACAAGAGGCGGCAACAGCCTACAAGGTGAATACCCGATCAGTAAGTGTTACGGATTTATATCGATATCTATATAAATATATATATGCATACACTAACTACAAAAAGTAAGTGCTGCGCGGGTTTATCGAATATCAGAAATATTTTTTTTCTAAATTTGCGGCGCTGTAATAGATATCTGTGTCAAATTTCACAAAATAACCGTCGTTAGTGTTTCACCTGCATTTGGTTTTATGCGACACAAAAAGTATTTGTTCGGAGTTTTGCAATATTTGAAATGAGATGAGATGATCAAGCGACCCAGAAGCAACCTATCAATCAAGCGAACATCGTGCCAAGATTGAAGACGCTGCGTCAAATTCGGTCAAAGATCAAAGTGATGTTAATAGGCTGAATGAATTCCTATGAATTCCTTCCGGTAGGCCGAACTATTAACAGAGAATATTGTTTGAATTTGTGAATTACTTTGAAGGCAACGATATACTTTTAAAAAATAAAAAGAAATCTGTTCTTAGCTTTTTATGCACTGTAGCGTATATATATATGTACACACATTTAAATATGTTAATGACAATATTAACTCACATCAGTGATTTATAAAAGGAAATATGAAATTTATATTAGCAAAAATATAATCTACAGGTATATATATATATATCTATCTATCCATATAGTCTATAGATATATATACACAATCTACAAATTCATTACGTCTTGCTAATCCGGACCTTTTAATATTAACTGCGCCTTTTTCATTTATGCCCAAGTGGATCACTCCTATTATTATTTATATGTAAGAACATATAGATTTTTTCATATTTATATATCGAGTTTACGTCTATTGTAAATTACATATTTTTATACATTTTCATTTATTATTTGTACGCTGAAACCGCATAACATCGAAACAAACGACAAGGTGTATACTGGCCCTTCAATGGCGATCAAAACAAATGGAAATCCATAACGAAGAATAATAAGTACGTAAGAAGTAATAAATGTTCAATTGAAGATGGCTATTATTAACTTGAATGAATACGCTTTTGAAGAACCCTAATTAAATATCTTACATACACAGCTTACATACGATTTTGTATTAAATTTAATGACTCAGATATATCAAGTACATCAAGTACGTCAAAATTGTAGATAATTCGACAACATTTCTGATGGCTTTCAAGCATCTAGAATAATCGATATTGACGCAATTCGTAACTGAATTGATTGGACTTTCGTTGCATATCCACGCCTAGACCTGGCGATATTAAGCTAAAGTCAACTTATTTCGAGACTACACGAAACGAACAACTCAAAGGCTAAAAGTTAAGAAACATGATACTTTCTAACTCACCTTGTCCGTATCAGAGCAATGTACATATATATCTAAGCTATTTTGTATATTTTCGTTTATTTATACGAATTTATTTAATTTATTTGACTTATTTATTTCAGCACCTGTTAAATGTTTTTAATCAATAGTGCCATATCTTTAAATTAATCAAGAAATTAAAGCAGTAAAGCAGTTATGAATGACGATAAAACAAAAACAACAACAACAAAAGGCTATCGTGAATGCTGGCTAGTTAAGCTTAGTCAAGTTGCGAATCATAAGAGCCGCCTAAGGGAGCCAGCTTGTCTCTGTAAACCGCAGCGTCCAAAGTTCAAAAACTTGATCGCATACTTAGTGAGGTCACATAAATATTTTCATGCAATAAACCAATTTATATATTTTCACTATCTACAAAGCATGAATATTCGTTTTTTTTTTTTTAAATGGAATATAATTTCTAGTTAATTAGTTAATTAGTCAATTAGTTATATTTAAAGGAAACGATATTAAAACAGCAAGCAAAACATACTCGACTTAACTCGAAACACTTGATGTAAGCTTTCATTTTTGTTGTTGTAAAGGCGTTTCGAAATCGGAGAATACATATACTTCATTGTGAACATACAACTGCTACTCAAGACATAACACCATTCGAAACACGTATCAATTTACTTCGCAACTATGATATGTATGTGGCAGCAACACCCATAGGCAATATTTATGTAAGCCTGTGCTTGTGAAAATCACTCCATTTTTTAATAAAATAGCCTGTAGAACCTAATTAATGAATATATAAACACTACCATTATTATTGTATAGTGATACCTTCAATTAAACGTCCGAATGGGATCGATCAACAATAATAAACGTCAGAGCCACGGGAGCGCAGTAATTTCTCTTACTCTACGAGAAGTGTGGTGAATATGCCCTTTTCTCCGGTGATATTCTGAGCATGAGAATACAAAATGCCATCCATTGAATAGAATATGTGTTGGAGGTGTCGAAACACTTAGGTAAGGATTTACATCATTGCTGTAAGATTCGCACGTGTGGTCCATAGCTCTCAGGTCTTGATCAGATCCTTTCGCCTGCGTGCAAAGAAAAGATTGCAGCCTAATAGATGCGCAAAATGTGTTCAAAACTTTTCAGGGTCTCGAGCATGCATATGCATAGGGGGTTCTATGGCAACTTTTTCACGGACATAAAGAAATTTTTACATCAATCAAGTCTTCAAGCGAGTGCTTGTTCTCTATAAAGCTGTGCTCACCTCACTTTTGCAACTGCCCACCTGAATGGTCTTCCCCGCATTTCTCCCAAGTAAAACTTACACTAGCTCTATCCTCTTTGTGTCCTCTTCCTCTATTTTTGCAAAACGCATACAAGACTCATGTAAAAATAGGAGATGAAAATTGTTCTAATCACTCTGTTGACAAGCTTACAATCATAAAAATCATTAGATTTTCTCACAGTCCCATCATATTTCGTTCGCCAACACATATGATGCAAGAAATGTGTTAAGCAATAATATCGTTTTGTGTTCACTATAATTAACCTTAATATACCCTATACCACTTGTGGTGCAATATCCAGAAGAACTTGAGATAAATGTATCTTTTATTTTACGGGTCGATTAACTATTATTTTTTTAATCATTTTTTTGAATGGAAACAACGCAGAGAACTTATTTATATACCCGTTACATAGAAAAAAATGTTCACACTTGTAAAGAAGAAAGTGAAGAGCACTGATCATAGCAGCTTCTACAACTCAATCAATCTTTGTTTCGCAGAACACACCACAAAATCGAATGACCATTGTTTCTAGGGAAGAAGCCAGCGGTACGATAAGTTAAGCTCCGCACATACCACAATTGATTTAATGACTTTTAAACACATGTATGGGCGTAACAAGGTTAAATTTAAACTCTTTTTGTCTTCGATCTTCAAATGCCAAGATATCCCGTTTACTGAAAAGACTTATAACAGAGCTCGACGATTGAAGTCGACCACAAAAACTGCACTTTTGGAATCAATTAAAATTTCACCTTTTTGTTTATCTTTTTTGTTGATATTCTACGGAGTCTTTAGCCAATTAGGAAAAGAAAACAAGATGCCATCGTGTATATTAATTGTTAAAACAGAGGCCAACAAGACCCCGTTTTTTGATAAAAAAAAAACTGTTGAGTTTGCACATTTGCATCCACATCCACTCCAGTGACCCATATGCCCGATAAAAATGCCGATTTTGTAATCTCTTGCTTCAATTTCCTAATTTCTAACCCACAAAATTAGGAGTTAAAAAACTGAATGTTTACATAAGAAGAAGCAGAAGAAAATGACGAAACTTTTACATTTAGCAAATAATGCAAAAATTAAGTTAAATGAATGTACAACTAATTGCGATAAAATAATGGTTTCGCTATTACTTGACATTTGATAAATCAATAGAAGGCATTCCGCAACAGTCCTGATTATTATAACCCATTAAAGATAACGAGCGTAAACCTAATTTTGATAATGAAAATTTTGCTTCATTTGTGACTGAATTATTTATATTGGCCATTACGTTATTATTGAGAAATTGTTGACTAATCTTATAGATAAACATCATACACTGCTAGAATATTTTCATATTGATCAACTTGGAAATAAATTAATATTATCTGTCATTTTTTTTTTTTTTTTTTTTTTTTTCATTTGTCTATGAAATTTGACAAAAAAAAATGTAATTTATTGCATATAATTAAAAGAATCGAAATAAAGCACAAGAAAATAAGACGATATATTTCATTTATATATATATATATATATATATATATATATATTTCTAATACGTAGATATACATGTAATACACTCGTAACGTCCGAATTTTTCTTCACTTGTAATTATATATTTTGATATTGCATATATGTGAAGAGTACGGAAACCATAAATCCATCACGATCGACGTCAGTGAGAAGCACTATCAATCAAAACGCTTAACACCCGTAACGTAAATAAACAAACCGTGATTTGTAAGCATAAGCACAAGCCACTACTATCGTTATTGGTTAGATAAGAAATTAAGGGTAGTCGAGTACTTAAATAATTTCATAATAAAAAGAAAAACTAATAGCAAGAATTTTTTATATGACTGGTAGCAGTCAATGCATTAACGCGTTAATAAATATATATAATAGAAGAGGCAAAAATTCAAGATGTACTTAAAAATTATTTTAAGTCTTTTACTCTGTGGTATTGCTTTATCGAAAGCCGACTCCTATTTGGGGTAAATATTTTGAAATGAAAAAAAAAACAAAAAAAAAAAAAATTTTTTTTTTTTTCATATTTAATTAATGTCGCGTTTAATTTCATGTATACTTTGTATTATATTTGATTATAGTTACAAAGTTTACGATATTGATGCGAAAAATGATTTTGAAAAGGAGGTGATCTTTAGATTGTCAGGCAACGACGATTATGATTTCTTCGACTTACCTAAGATAATTGGCAAGCCAGCACGAGTCATGGTACAGCCAAAGGACCAAATGGAATTCGAGACCACTTTAAATAAATTCGGAATTGATTACAATGTTATTAATGAAGATATTGGGCAAACATTGGAAATCGAGCGTTTACAAAATAACTTTTTACGTGCTGCCCTAGGTCGAAGTTCGCGTATTAGTTTTTCTAATTTTCAACGCTTTGGGGCGATAAACGCTTACCTTGACGAATTGGCTAAAGCTTATCCTAATCGCGTTAGCGTTAAAACAATTGGGAAATCTTATGAAAATCGCGATATGAAAGCCATTACCATTACGGACGGTGACCTTTCGCATAAGAAAAAAGCGATACTTGTCGATGGCGGTATTCATGCCCGCGAATGGATTGCTCCAGCTGCGACCATATATATTATACATCAGTTGGTCGAAAATTTCGAGAAAAACTCGAACCTATTAAAAGAATACGATTGGATTATTTTGCCCGTAGTCAATCCTGATGGCTATGAATATACGCATACAAATTCGCGTATGTGGCGTAAAACTCGTCGACCTATAGATGGAAAATGCTTCGGTACTGATGGTAATCGTAACTTTGATTATCATTGGGGTGAAGTTGGTGCTTCAGCAGTATCTTGTGCCGATACCTTTAAAGGCCCCACTGCATTCTCTGAACCAGAAACCAGAGCTCTTCGTGATTTAATGCTTACCTTGAAAGGTCGCGCTAAAATGTATTTAACTCTGCACTCCTACGGCAGTTATCTTCTATATCCTTGGGGCTGGACTTCGTAAGTAATGCATTAATAATCATAGAGAAAAAATTATTGCATTTCTATCGCTTTTTATATGTACAGTGAATTGCCTGAAACCTGGAGAGATATCGACGAAGTTGCCCAAGCTGGTGCTTCAGCTATTAAGAAGGCCACTGGAAGCCAATACACTGTCGGTTCATCGACCAATGTCTTATATGCTGCTGCCGGTGGTAGTGATGATTATGCTTACGCTGAAGCTAAAATCCCTATTGCGATTACCATGGAATTGCCCGCAGGTGGTAGCGGTTTCGATCCTTCTCCAGATCAAATACAACCCTACGTCGAAGAGACTTGGATTGGCATTAAAGCCATGGCTGAAAAGGTTATCGAAAAATATTAAAATGTTTTGTAAATAAATTTCTTAGTTGCCTGCGATAACTTGAGCTCTTATTTAATTTTATATATATCATCTAGACGAAATTTTTGGACTCGAAACATTTATTCACTTTGCCTTAGCGTCTTTGAAAGTCTTAAGTTAAATCAGAAACAACTAATATTTTAGGAAATAAATAAGATAGATATATGAAATTTTTAAAAGTTACTCTAAATGGAAGTATATTATGCGTAAATGAAAAGTTCCTTGAAGACATATTGAAATATTAAAAATTTTACTTCAGCTTTCAATAATCAATTTAATATTTCAATTTTAAATATTTCTCGACAAAGGAGAGACAATCGTTATTATCCTAGCATACGTAATGGAAGTGAATAATTTAGATTGAATGGTACAATTTTGTAAGGGTCTCTCTCTCTCTCTCTCTCTCTCTCTCTCCGCCTCTATCTCCATCTCACTCTATCTCTTTAAATCTCTCTCCTCCAACGTTTTCACGAACACACAAGGTTCAATTTTTATACCCGTCACCGAAGGACGAGCGGTATATTCATTTATCAAAACATTCCGCAACGCCCAGAAGCAAGCTTCAGAGACCATACAAAGTATATATATTTTTATTCCGCTTCAAACTCTGTCCGTCTGTTCTTTGTCCGTCCGATCGTCTGTTCATCTCTGTAATGTCTGTTGTAAACATACCCCTCTGCGCAAAAATTAGGTTATTAAATTCAAGTTTAGCAAAAATGGTATTGAAAATAGACCAAAGCGGTTAAAACACACGCCTACGGTACGATGTAAGCTGAGAACACTTCTCTTTTTCAAATAAAATAATAATCTGGTTAATAGATTCGATTTTCGCTCATTACTCGTCAAATACAACGGATAAATATGCAACAATTTGGGCGTATATTGTATGGATGAGGCTGTAGCATCTGTATAAAAATATGAGAAAACTTGACCGCGCCTGCCCAACATTATAGTGTATAAAAATTTAAATTTTTTCCATCCCTTCTTAACACGCAGAAACAATCTTCAAAACCCCGATAAAGTATATAAATTCTCGTCTGATTTCAAATTCAGCATTCACCTAACCATGTCCGTCCTTTCGTACGTCCATCCGCCTGTCTACCAAACTGTGTTGTGCCTGTGGTACACATTTTCCCGTTTGCAAAAAAGAAGATATTGCCTACAAATTTACAAAGGAGTTCAAAATTGGTCCAAACAGATCAAAGAACACGCTTACAAGGCCCACAGGCCTATAAAACCAAAACTAAGAATACCTTTGCGTTGCGTGTCTCTTCGTCATTACTCATAAACTAAAACAGATACACGATCTTAGTTTCCACAAAATTATTTTATAAAAACATAACCAATCGGCTACTCTCCTCCAATATTATGAAGTATGGAAATTGTTTAATCTTCTATCGATTAACGGTGATGGCTATAAACGACTCGATTGCAACCGAATATAATTTTCTTACGTGTTTTTCTCTGGCGAAAAACAACGAAAACCCTACGTGTTTAACTTGAGACTAAATTCAATTGGTTCAGAATTGAACCACATCCCTTTTTTTTTTTGTTTCAGCAGCTGCAGCGCCATTTTAGTTTTAAAAAAATTGATCTCAATAAATTAATCCATCATTTATAAATAAATTTGACAAACTGAGTCATAATTTTGCGCTTACATGTCAAGCATTACCCCATATACACACACAAGGTGTGCGCCGCATTTCGGACAGGGTCGGAAGTTGCGGGTTTGGTTATTGCTGGCATGATACCAATCGACTTGCGAGCTGAAGAAGGTATACATAGGGCTGAATTTCACAGAATGTCGGCTGAAGTGGCTAAGCACCCAGCAAAACAGCAGCTGGTAGAAGATTGGGAGGAGCATTACAGCAGAGCGTGTAAGGGTAGATGGACGCACCGGCTCATAGCAGATTTGCGGCCCTTAGTGAATAAGCCATATGGTGAGATGGACATAGCTAATTAGCGGCCATGGTTGCTTTAGATCATATCTGTTTAGGTTTAAAATAGAGCAGGACCTATTCTGCAGTTTTTGTGTGTGCATCGAAAACGCTGAACATGTTTTCTTTGTCTGTTCGAAATATCATAACGAACGATAGACACTACAGACGAAAACTGGAGTGTCACCTCTCGCGAGACAATGTTGTGACAAATATGTTGCACGACCTGAAAACATGGAAGGCGGTAGAAGCGTTCGTCGCAGAAACTTTATGAGAAAACAAAGACACGACGAGCGTCAACGTAGGTTTTTAAGTAGTGCCTAAAGGGCTACCCTACCTGTGAAGGTATACCTAAACGGCCATGCCACATGATAGGGAATAGGAGGGATGGTTTTTAGCGGGTTAAAGTCCCGCATTACCCTGATGGGAGCCAATTGATGGTTTTCCAATTCAAAAAGGAAAATTACACACACGCACACACACACAGACACACAAACAGGCACACACGCGCGCGCGAGCGCATTCTATGCCGATGTAATAAAAAATCTATTTCATGTTACATTCATGCTCATCAGTTAGTGATAAGATAGAATAGTTACGATCAAACTCAACATATCCTTTCGTAATCAATAAAATTGAAAAGGTTTCACAATAATTCAAAAAATTCAAAAATTGCATTCGCAAGTTTTTTTTTGCAAATTTTTAAAATCAGAAACTCAGTTTCTCTGAAAATAGTTAATAATATTTGGCTTCGCGGATATCTAATCATTTATAAATTTTAATCATTGATAATTTTCAACTTACCAATGACGAACTTTCGGGAAGTAAGTATTCGAAATTAATTAAAACTATGTCGCATTATGATTGATAAGCATTAGTATGGACTTGTGACTTTATTTATCGCTTTAATCGCCTTTAAGTTTCAATACAACGCACGAATACTCATTTTTCGTATATAAACAAAAAACAAAACAACATTTATTGTTGTGTCTTATTATCGACTACATATCTATTTTTACAACTAAATTTAATATTAATTTATTTGTTATATTAATATATTACCATATAAAACGTTTTTATGCCCACCGCCAAAGGATGAGGGGTATATTAATTTTGTCAAAACGTTTGCAACGCAATGAAGAAAGCTTCGGAGCCGCTGCAAAGTATGTATATTCTTGAGTAGCAACAAATTCTAAATCGGTTTAAGTATGTCCATCTGTCTGTCTGCGTAATTTTTATTTTAAACAATCTCCTGGCCGCAAAAATAAACCTATCGACTTCAAATTTGATAGAAACATTGCTAGTTCTTGCACGCAACTTGGTATTGAAAATGTTCCAATTCGATCGAACTACATGCCTACGATACCGCGTTAAGTGAAGTCATCTCTGTTTTGCAAAAAATTGTTATTTGCTCATTAATTATGAATTACAGCAAACAAATCTCCAGAGATTTGAATGTATATTCTATGGGCGATGCTGTAGTACCTGTATAAAAATGGAAAAAATCAGCCACGCCTACTCCATCTTACAGTGTGTCATAATTTCCGTTTTTTTGTTTTTCAAAATTTTTATAATGCAATAGAAGCAAGCTTCAAAAATCCCATAAATTTTTGGCCAGAGTCAAATGCGGAATACACGTAGGCAAGTCCGTTCGTTCATCGTTTAATATCGGAGGTAAGCATTCTTCAATAATGAGTTATTCTGCAAAAATGAAGTTATCACCCACAAACTTGCAAGAAAATTTTAAAAGCTTCCAAACTTTTCAAAGAACACGCCTAATTTTATACAAGAAAAAGAAGAAGACAAAATTTATTTATTTATTTATTGTCTACATATTTTGTAAATAAATTTACAAAGCATGAATTTAAATCATATGCTCACCTGTTTTGAGATTTGAACCCACCCAGCATTGAACTGCTAGTCGCGATCCTTTGACCACTCGGCTACTCATGCGAATATACCCTATATGAATTTCCACTTCTATTCCGCAAATAGAAAAAATCAGCTACAACATTCAATGTTATAGAACAGAAAGATTAAAATTATTTTCCGTTTTCTTTAGGATCACGGATCGGTCACAACCGGATATAATTTTCTTACTTGTTTTTTTTTCTGCTACTGAAAGAAATGCTCAATAACCTTCTCAAATATCATTATACTGCTACTTTGCCTTCCATTGAAAGAAACTTGTCAAAAAAATCCCCTCCCTTTTTTTATTAAGGATACTACAGTAATCTACCCTTCTGAACTGTGTTTTAAAGAATATACTTAATTTAATGCCCTGGTATTAACACCGCCTTTAGCTAAATGGAAATGTTTATAGAAGAAACCACATTTTCACCTTAAATACACTTTTGTTATATACCTTTGTTAATTTGTTTGTTAAATTAACAAACATTTGATAGGATATGATTAGGGATTGTTTAAATAAACGTCGTTCTTATGCTTGTGAATATAAGTACACCTGCAGCATAGGCAAAAGAACTTATAAACGATGCATTCATATGCATCATCCATCATGCACTCAACTATCGAAATCTGAGACTTCTGAGTCATCTTTATTTACCTATAATAGAACACAGCATCTTACATGCATTACTGTAGCAATACAGCAAACAGGTCAACTTTTTAGGTCAACTTAGAATATGCGCCTTATTTATTTGACTTGGTGATAGTGCGGAAATAGTGAGGGAGATAGGGAAGGCATAGAGGGATGGCATCAGCCTAGCGCATGTATACTATGTCTTTACCGACTAGGCAGTCACTGCAGCTGTAGAGAAAGTAGAGTTTATCGCGCTTACGATTTGAACTCATGTTCATTCACTTGATAGTCACGGTTCTTACGTACTAGGCTACTCATACGGATGAACTGGCATTTTTAGAATCCACAAGTTTAGAATTTCCAAGTTTGATCAATCAATTTTTCTGTTATTCATTGCTCATTGCTAAGGAATAACATGTACATAAACTTTTTGTGGGAAATCCTGAGGATTTCGCGAGCGAATCCTAATAGCACCTTTCCGTAGGAAAAGACGTGGTTCGTTTTGAGAAAAATCGTTTTGAAGATATGCAAAATTGAATTAAACTTTAGCGAAATTATTTGACAAATACAAAGAAGGCTTCACTTCGCCCATTTTTCGTAATCTAAAATATTTATTTAAAAAAAATTTGTTACACTTTTATTATTTATTATAAAGTTAAAGCGACGAAATTTTCAACTCCTTACACACCTATAGATGAGGGTCTATCGCCACAATGAATTAATTAGAAGAAAGTTGCATGTCTGATAAGTTCGATAAAGCCTGCAAAAGTTTCTTTACAAACATCCGGAATATCGGTGATAGGTACATGAAAATTTTCGCCCGGCAATTCCAAAGTGAAAGACATGGGTATCCCCAGATTCCCATAGGCAAAATCATCCAAACCACCAGAAGCTTCATACAGAATATTAGCGGATGTTCCTACCCTATAAAGAGTACCGCGATACTTTGCTATTTGCGAAGCAGCACGTGTGGCTACTCCATGCAAAAAATTCCGAGTATCGGCATAAGCAGTTCTAGAAATCATGTCAATTAGTAAACTGATTAAGTGAATAATCGGTTAATTTCCGCATAAATTTTCTTACCTAGAATAGCCATAAGGATAGAAAATAAATTTACCGTATGAATGAACATCAATACTCAATTTAACACGATTACGATTATGCTCAAGATAGCGAACAACTGCCGATGTTTCAGATTCGGAGGCAGGCGCGATGCCAGCAAATACCTCTGAACAAAGCTGAAAGCGGTCGGTTGCCTTTATTAAAATACAATTTTTCTAAGAATATTTAACGTACATTAGAACTAGCACCACGACGGTTCCAATTATTAGCGAAATTTCGATTAATATCTACACCAACACAAGAGCGGCCGGGATATTGACGACGATTTTTCCGCCAAAAGCGATCCTTTCAAAAAAGAATCTTTCATTATATTAATGCTAAATTAGCCTTCTATCTCTCTCTCACACTCTCTTAATCTCTTTCTCATTCTCTCTCACTCTATAGAGTTAATCATACCGAAGTGTGTGAATATTCATAACCATCTGGGTTAACCAAAGGCACCAAATATATTTCCACATCCTTTAAATATCTTTCAAAAGTTTTCAGATTCCCTAATATCTCATTGGCAAGATATAACACGGTCAGCGGCGCAATCCATTCCCGGCCGTGCGCTCCGCCTTGTATATAAACAACGCGGCGGTCACGTATACGATTATTCCGATATATGGAAAGAGCAGCAATGTGACGACCTTCAAATGATCGACCCAACGACTCATAGCGGCAATTTTGTGGGTAACGTGTTGCTAAAATACTCATATAATTTAAAATCTAAGAGCAAAGTAAATATAATAAATAAATGCTCGTGTTCTCAATATTCGCATATATTCCAATATACGACATACCTCCTTATATCTGGGATAGTGTGCAAAGAATCCGCGTGCTTGTCTTTTGGAACGAAATTTCTCAAATTCTACGTTATCCGTATTTGACTCTGCCGGAGTGGAGAAATTTAGAGAAGCTCTTTGTAAAAAAATTAAAATTAATTAAATTAACTAAAACATCTATATGCCCTATGTAAAATAAATTTTATACCCAACACCATCATTGCTTAAAATAATATACATATACATGAAATCAAATAATTCTGTTGATAACCAAGTGAGATAAGATATCATTAGATTTTCATATAATCATAAATATATGCAAATTGAACGATGCACATATTAGTAAATCTTCAAATTTCAAGTAATGAAGCTTACGAAATTTTCAAATCAGACGCACTGTTATGAAATGAGACTCGAGTTATCATTTAAATCGATGTAAACAAAATGACTCTTTGCTAGCCAGTGATGTTAATAAAATAGATAAAATAAATTATAAATGTAAACCGATTTTAATCCGGAATCGTAGAACTTACATTTCGTCCAGTAAAGCTCGACTTTTAAATTTTGCATTCAATCCATTCAAGTATTCTTCAAACATTTGTTGCCTAGCAGGTTTTATCACAGCGATCGACATATTACTTTCCAATGACCAAAAATTCACATTAGTATCATTCTCCTGTAGATCCAAGAGGTAACGAAAAGTTTCCTCATCGTCGTACGTTATTGTATATTTATTATAACTGGAAATTACGAAAAATAATTTTTTACATTTTTAGAATGTGTTTGATTTAATTGACAGCCCTAATGGGCATATCGCATTTATATTGAACGTGATTATAGTAATTTCATCAAGTCATCTCACTTGAAATCATTGACGTTTATATTGCATACAAATTATCAAGTGATTAATATTTTTGTTTACATATTATATAAACGTGCAAACCACAAAAGCAAGTTACGTTTCTGTCTGTCCCTTCAATTTTAACGAGATAATTTACGTTTCGGGGTTAAGTGTTTTCATACCCTATACCACTTGTTCTTGTAGAGGAGAATACGCAGAGTTTCCGTGAGCCCGTCCGTCCGATAGCAGTCCATCTATGGTGTATTCAACCAATAATTTTTTTTTTCACCGAAATTTACCAAACCAATGTGTTTCGGCCCAAGGATGAATCCTATTGAAAACGGATTAGATGGGGCAATTTTGACGAGTACTCATCATATAACAGCTTATCGTTAATTTTGAAGAAGTCATGTGAAAAATTTAACTCGGATGGGACAATTTCTAGAACTACTGTAGCCAAGTTTAGTTTTTAATAATTCATGATCGTAAAAATTTGGTCAAGATAACAATTGGACTAAAAACAATAATTAGACCACGTTGAGGACTATGTTTTTTACCCCAGCCCAGGTAAAGATTCTTACAAAAAGCAAGCCCTTGAATGGCCACGGAGTTTAATAGTTATACTTTCCAATGAAAGTAGATGAAAAACGATAAGATATATATACATGTATAGATAAGGCTTTTTCAGAAAGTTCAAATTGCTCTTCTTCTATTACGTGAATTATCTATATATAATGTATATGTATGGGTATAAATGTAATGTTAGATTGGTTTGAAAATGGCCAATCACACGTCACATGCCCAAAATCACTGGTGGGCTAAGGATATATTAAGTTAAAGGGGATATATATAACGTCCGGAACGGAGTTGAGGGAGAATCATTTCCTTAAACGATTTACGCTCGTCTGGCTCGTCTAATGGTTGTCCATGTATTTTTTTATTCTGGCGAAATTTGATGCACGAACTTCTCCTGATCGAAGGACGAGCGCTATTCAAATTCAACTGAATCGAACCACTTTCCTTATAATGGCTTATATTAGAAAATTCTTTGTATGAAAAAAATTGCAATTTTTAAAATTTATCAATAAATATCACTGAACCTAACTGACTTCAAACATGGTTGTATGTATGCATGCTTTTAGTGTTTTGTCGCGGAAATAAATGAATTGCATTAAGTGATATGTTGTACGGTATTTAATGAACGATCTTATTCGACTATAATGTTTTTTATTTGTTATTGTTACTTCTCTCAATTTAGTTTCAGCAAGTTAACTAAATTATCATCGAGCAATACTCTTTATTAGATACCCGATATCGTTTCTCCTGTAAAACGTATCAAAAATTAATTTTGTCTTGAGGCAAATGGCGTACTTCTCCTTTATATCGAATCCCTAAATTGGAAGGAAGCCTAATAATAGATAAGCCAGCGTAATCCAAAATTCTATATAAAATTCTTTATACAAGAACTGATTATTCCTCGTTTATATTTTATGCTATGATATAGCAAATATTAAATACAATTGTTCTCGTGTGAAAGCTTATTTGGTATGAGAAGAGCTTCGAAAAATAGTCCTACATAGGACTCCAAACCTAACACAGTAAATTTATATGATCAAGTCCTCATTTTGGACCCATTAACTTTAAAAGAAATTCTACCTTCTTGTTATAATAGGCCTTAGTTAACATCTTTAAGTGTAATGATTCAAAAATAGCCCCAGCCTATAAAAAGTTTTCATATTTATTTATATATTTTTCATCAATTCTGATCGAGAAATATTCAAAATCGTATAACGGATAATGATTTTTTCCAAATAGAATTTTATATTGGAAACTAGTCGTTAAAAGTGATCCAATCGATCCGTCTGAGTGGTCGAATAGGTAAGAAGTGCAACTTCTAAGTCAGTATTCGCGGTTTCAAATCTCAAATGCGATAGAGTTCGCCCTGGTCACAGCGATATAGTGAGTGCGCAGTCGATAGAGGCATAAAACTTATCGATAGAACACACAACGGCCGGGATGTAGCCGCCATCTTCCTATTTTTTCTTCCTCTTTCTGATCGTTACCGTGTTACACGAATAGGTTAAAAATTGCAATGTAAAATTTCTGACCTGCGGACATTAGACGGACTGAATCGATCGATAAAATAAATGTCCTTCTCTATGTTACATATATCTATCTGCACGTATTTAATATATCCTTATTATAAATGGTATAGGGTATATATATCTCAGATTAGCCAAGACTTAAGAAATTTTGAAAAAGTACATAGAGCTCTTCGTGATTTACTCTTTCCATTGTATTGCATTATTATTACAATATATTTGTTTTACGAACATGTTTGGTTAAGCATCTATCACAAATAATATGTGCATACATAAATACGTATACATTACATACATATATTGCTGCATGGTCATGTGTGAACACTTATAGCAGTTATATGCTATGCGCACTGTTGCATTTACAGGAGATAGAGTAAATGATATGAAGTAATTGTTCAGACACCGTTTGGATGAACCATACACCACAGCTACCGACAATGAAAAACGCTAGAAGAACATGGTAAATGATTTTTTTGTGGCAAAAATTAGATGATTTCTACTTGGACGACATATGCCATACATTTTGTTTGTGTATGTGTGGAAGAGAACTTCACTTAATCACTTAATCTCGCATAATGTTTATGTGAGGTTGCAACAAAAATTATACGATATAACTCCGTTGGGCATTTTTTTTTTTTGGAGTTCGGTTATATAATTGGTTTACTCTAATACCCCACAAACTTCCAAATGACATTATTTTCCAATATTATTCTTGCTATTGGTGAAATAAAGACAATGCGGCTAAAATTTATTGTTCTAAAATTAATAAAAGTATATGTGCGGGATGGACAAAATTATAGGAGCTAAGTATTCATTTTGTACTTTGTCTATCTCCTGCATATAAGATATTCCAATTATAGTACTCTCTCAGACATTTCGAACACATAGGTTCCAATGTGTTTTCATTGAGTAACGACAAGGTCAAATACATTTTAGTTTTTAAGCTCATAACTAAACAAGTAAGAACATTACAATCGGGCAACGCCGACCATTAAATAGCCTTCAGAACATTGTTTAACACAATTCTTATTTTTATTATAGAATATAAAAATTATATCTTGTTTTTATATAAAGGAATATTTTTCAAGTGCGTTCTTATAGGAAAGCGGGCCCAAAACGCAACCTAATGTAGTACAAGTTTAATCCTTACAATAGGGCAGGATCCAAAAACAGGTTTAGATGGTCCAAATTTTGTAGAGTTCAATTTTATAGGAAATTACTATGATATTGTGGGTCATTTTCCATCGCCATATATTAAAACTCCTAGGATCCTAAAAAATGGAACGAGATGATCCAAATTTGGAATAGATAAGTTTTTTACGTTTTATTACTATTATGATATAATTTGCATCATGAAGCATTGAAAATTATACCTTTCTGTCGCTGTTCTGAACTTCAATTTTCGCTATATGAGAGGGGATTCAAAAATCGGCCCAGCCGATCCACAGTTTTCACGCCAATTTAGAATGCCGACATACCACTACTTAGCCACTTTTGCCGAGAAATTTTGAAAATTACAATTTTTTTTCATATAAAGACTTTTCAGAGTAGGCCGTCATATGGTGGATGGTCGAAAAAGTGAACCGATCCGAACCATCTACAATAGCGTTCGTCTTTAGGCCAAAACACGTCACTATATCAGATTTCATCACAATATCTCAAAAATTGCGACATATAGATTGAACAAAAATATACATGGGCAGGCTTAGATCAATTCAGATTACAATTCTGAATCGATCGGTATAATAAAAGATGAGTCTATCTCTAAACCTCTCTGCGTGTTACATACGTTCGCATTAGCTTATTATACTCTATACCACAAATGGTGTGGGTTATAAAAATACGGTGCGAATACATATCACGTTTGAAAGCTAACCCGATCTCCATAACACGTTTACTAAAATCTTCTGAAACTTCTATGAGAAAGTCAACATTAATACGCCAATCTTAGTATGATGAACCTTTGAGTCGCCTTTAAACGTTTAGCTTAAGTTTAAGTTAAATTTTGTTTTTTTTGCTGCACTTTTAAATTAACAATTAACATTAAAAAATAAAAACAATTTTCAAATTTGCGGTTAATCATGATGTCAAAACTACTACTATTCACAAAATCTGTATGATTATACCACGATGCGCTTTACAGACTCACACCTCAGAAAGGAATTTCGTATCGATTCTCTTAACTATTCGAAATGTTTTTATACGCTACACTAGCTGCGATACAAAAGTATATAAATATATTGTGCCGATGTATGCAACTTAAGGTAAATCTATCGTTTATTACAGCTATTGATTCAGCGATGGGAAGTTATTAAAGCAAAACTTGACTATAAGGACGAGTTGGTCCCTAGTAACTAACTGAATTATCAATTCAAATTCTTATGTTATATAATTTAAAGTAAATAGATATCGAAGATTCACTTTCAAAACAAAAATAACTGCTATTTACTTTTTATTTTTATTATGTAAATCGCTGACCTCAGTTTTTAAATATTAATACGAAAAAATACATGAATAGAAAGCACATGCTTTGATTGCATAGAAGTTGAAAGGCGGAAGATTTTTATAAAAATAAACATAATTTACATTTTTCATAAAGACTAAAAATTGTTTTTGTTTTTTTCTTTTCTTCTTTTTTTTTCAATGCGAATAAGTTTGAAACGAAATAGAAAGCTACATTTGGCTTTCGGTAAATTTTCTATTATATTAGTTTGGGGAAAAAGAAATCCATTATTTTTTCGGTAGATGGCTGCACTGATAGATTTCTCGTAAAGTATCGATCAAACAATTTCATATTTATGCTCGTTGGAAAGGTGACATTTCGCAGTAAAAAAATTCTTTTGCTGTTTTTTATTTGGTGCATTCAGTTGTGAGTTACAGCGTGTTAAAAATGGAAGTGAACAATGAGAAAATTCGGTACATTTTACAGTTTTTCTTTGACAAAGGCGAAAATGCAAGCCAGGCGGCTAAAATTGTGAATGGTGTTTATGGTTCCGATACTGTAACAGCCAATTATGTGCAATTTTGGTTTCGTAGATTCCGTTCAGGAATTTTTGATGTTAAAGATGCACCTCGCACAGGTAGGCCGGTCGTCGAAAATGTCGATAAAATCGGAGAAATGATCGAAGTTGACCGGCATGTTAGCAGTCGTAACATCGCCCAGGAGCTAAAAATCGACCATAAAACAGTTTTAAACCATTTACACAAAGCTGGATTCAAAAAGAAGCTCAGTGTTTGGGTGCCACACCAATTAACAGAAAAAAACATGATGGATCGAATTTCCATCTGCGAAGCCTTGGCCAAACGGAATGAGATAGACCCATTTCTTAAACGGATGGTGACTTGAGATGAGAAATGGATCACATACGATAACCCTGTGCGAAAACGATCGTGGTCAAAGAGCGGTGAAGCACCTCAAACGGCCAGGAAGGTTTTGCTATGCATTTGGTGGGACTGGAAGGGGATTATTTATTATGAGTTGCTTCCATATGGCCAAACGCTAAATTCTGATCTCTACTGTCAACAACTGGACCGTTTGAAGATAGCGATTGACCAGAAATGGCCAGAATTCGCCAACAGGAGAGGTGTCGTGTTCCACCAGGACAACGCTAGGCCACACACATCTACAGTGACTCGCCAGAAACTTCGGGAGCTTGGTTGGAAAGTTTTAATGCATCCGCCATACAGTCCGGACTTGGCACCAAGCGATTATCATCTTTTTCTTGCATTGCAAAATTTCTTTAATGATAAAAAATTGGAATCTAGGGAGGATTGTGAAAATCGACTACCAGAGTTTTTTGCAAATAGAGACCAGGACTTCTATAAGAGAGACATTTTGAAGTTACCTTTAAAATGGCAACAAATCATACAACAAAACGGTGCATATTTGACCCAAATCGGACAATCCGAAGCATGTTAAATAAAGTCCTGAAGTTCATATAATAAAATAATGGATTTCTTTTTCCCCAAACTAATATTATAGATATGCACTCATTGGACTCAATTGTAATTAAATTAATTTTCATGCAAAATTTAAGGAAAATTACAGAATGCACTCGCTATCAAAATTAAGTTTTCTCTATCAGTTTGCGTTATTTTTACTAAGAAATCAAGTATAAATTTTAAATGTGCTCATGCTTAGATATTAAGGACTAAGCATAAAAGTATAATGCGAAAAAATGATTCCAATCTGATCGAAAACTGTGCGTTATATATATATACATGAATTTATATATATATTTTAATTATATGTATATATAAATGTATGTATATAAAAGTATGTGTGGATGTAATCGATTTGATCATGTCTGTCCCTCTGTTCCTCACATATCTAGCCAAGTTATTTTTTTGTTCAAGCTACAAGTCGCAATTTTTGCCATACATTGATAAACATATTTCGGCTCCAGGACGAAACCTACTGAAAATGACAAAAATGCCCAGATGAAGCCTTATTTTGAAAAGTCATTATATGAAAAAAATTTTCCATTCGCTGAAACAACTACTTGGGTATACTATAACGTCGTCAAGGCTGCACTTCGAAGATAATGGATTAAATACTTAGTGCATAACATTGCACATAATCTCTTATCTACGCACTTCATCCTTGACGACCCAATACATAAATGTGGTATAAAATGTATGTACACGTTTCTACAATGTCACCTTACGGTTTTACATTCACTCTCCCATATACGCAGCGTCATCAAGGGTAAGACTTTATTACATTGCAACAAGGAATGATTATGTTAGAAATAGTGATGTAAGATATTTTAGAAGCCAGCCTTGCTCGTATGTAACAAATTTGTTTGTTTATTATGAAATCCCTCGAACGATGCTTCGAAATGCTTTGGGATCGATTTACTCGACGATAAACAAATGAATTGATCAAAAATGTATATGCAAAATATACTTTTGTAAATGAACAATTCAGTCAACTTGCACACTTACACACCATTAAAGGATGAATTATGCCAGATTTATATTTCAGTTCAGGGAACTTCCACAATAATATTAGATTTTTCAAAAACGACAGCTTTTGTATCGTTTCACGGAGACCTGCCTATTAACTTCTCTATCGTCTGCTATTGAAATATTGACGATTTTAACAACAAATACACTCTTAATTGATTGCCATATATCCGGTTTGAAAGTGGTAAGCGAATGAATCGTATTAAAGAAGAACTCAGAACAAGTATTTTATAAGTGCAGCTAACAGGCCGGTCCGAGCGATAGTCACACTTGATGTATGATGATGTATATCAGAAAAGATTCGACCTAAGACGCAAATAACTTTTCTATTTGTTGTTATTTTAAATGCTACACCAATTGCGTTACAAGTTTACGCGCATATATGCAACACTCAGAAGGACTTAAGATGGATCCTTCTTTTATTATACCAATCAATTCAAAATAATTTTGTAAATCAATCTAAGCTTGTCTGTCCGTCTGAAAATGGTTCGGATCAGATAGCTTTTCAACCACTTCCCATAGAACGTGTTACGGAAATGTAGAGAGGTATAGCCCATGCCCATGTGCTATAGGGTTTTACTTGCTTTTCACTTAGTACAGGTTCCAGCAGACGAATAATTTGAATATGATTTAAGAATTATTTTATAAAATCCGTCTGAGTGGCCGAATGCAGAGAATCTCGACAAGCCACTCAACGGTCGTGGGTTCAAATCTCAAGTGCGGTCCAAATTTCAATAAAGCCGATAGATAGCCTTAGATGCTGGTGCTTTAAACTTTTAATTCCAAATTTTATTTCTATAGCTAAAGTCATAATAATGATAATAATTATTAATTATTTTTAAAAGTTTATAATACAGTGTAAGGGGCAAAGAACTCTTCCTTATAAGTAAGCACAGCTCAGTAAATATTAGTAACAAAGTCATATGTCATGCTAAACGTTTTACCCTTGATATCCTTTTAGATTGTCAGCCAACAATAGATGATAGATTGTGATTAAACAAATGAGTATTTTTTGCGGCAACATTTTTTATTTTTCTCTTTTACCCCTTTTTTTTTTTTTGTTTTTTAATTAACTTATTTTAAAACTTTTAGTAGCTGTTTTTTTTAATGATATAAAAAAATAGTTGCTTTGAACAGAAAAAGAAACAAAAAAAAAAAATTTATTTTCTTTCTACTTAGCATTTAAAGACTTAAGTTGTTAGATTCCATTTTTTTTTTTTCTTTTTTTATATTTTGATGTTAATGTTAGGTGAATATTTCTTTTCAACTGCGGATTTTGTCCGCTTTGTTAAAATTAACGCGACTGACTAAATCATCTTTGAAAATTTCATCTGGGAAAAGAATGTGGTATCAAGCAAAATAAATAAGATAATTAGAAAAATTTTCGCCGATTTTTATGACAATAAAACAGGTTAAAAAATTTATAATCAGGCAAGGCCGACCATCTAAATATTTTATACCATTTTGCTTAATAGATATCTTTATTTACTTTTGTTAAAAAAAAAAAAAAAATTAAACTTTTTTGTCATATAGAGCATCATTATATGGGAGCGAGCTCAAAATGTGAAAGGTGAGTAGACCGTGACTGAAATTGTGATAAAATCATATCATTTCTTTATTGCCAAGGAACTTATTACTCCTTATCTACGTTCGCCAGCATATATTACTAACAGCTTTTGATATGAGTCCTTGTGATGACAGGCATTAAAGACAGAAACCTATATGATTATTTGTGATATGAAGAGCATTAGAAAGGGACGGCATTCAAAAAGTGATTCATTCCTAATTTTCGTTGATTGTGTTAAAATCGTAACTTTTTTTTAAAATTCGGCCTTTATATGAAAATTCATTGTAACAATGCATCAAAGGAATTCATTCAATTCAAATGAAAGCAAATATCACATGGACAGACACACGGACAAACATGTTTAAATCGATTTAGAAATTTTTGCTAAATCGTCTATTATAGTAAAAGGTCTAAGTCTAACTCAAGTCCTTCTCGATATTACTTACAACTGATTGGAAAGTACATGCAACTTGATGGGGAATATAAGCGAATTAATATGCATACAAGACAATGACTTAACGGAATAGTTGGGTCATTTTCCTTAAAATCCATAAATTTTCTCATGAATAATTCCTCACTCATTCCAGATATTAAAAAGCCATGGAAAGAAATCATTTGAGCTATGTTAACAACTTGAAGCAGAAACGCTATAATGATAAAAAAGAGAAAATAAACAAGCATTCATTCATTATTCTTTGGAAATATAAATAATAGAAATCAGCGATTGCTTTTCCAGCTACCTGATAATTTAAAAAAAAATTACATTTTTAATTCTCTAAGCAAATGCGAACGATGATGTGAAAAGAGTGATGGTCAAGGTTAAGATACAAACAAAGCAAAACTCTTAAATGGTTTTTCTATTTCTAAACTCTTTTTAAATTTTCGTATTAAAATCTTTTTTTTATTTTTTTTTTTAATTTAATTCAATTTAAAACTCACCGGCAGCTGTTAGCAAACCATAAGTTAATCTCCGTTAAGCTTTATTTAATAAACTTAATTCGAAACAATTATCAGGAATTTTCAATTTTTTTTTCATTTTCCCCGAGTTCATTTTCATGCCCAGTGATTTTTTTCGTTGCATTCAATATGTATAATAATATATATTTAAACAATAGCTACTTTGTTGATAATAAAGCTGGAAGATAATTTATATATTTTATCATGGCCTTTACTCTAGAGTCATACATGATATTTGTTAATACGATGTGCAGGATGCTTTCTTTTTTTTTTTGTTTTTCTTTTCACTTAGGGAATTTTTATTTGCATTAAGGATTTTCAAGCAATAAAGTCGTCCTTCGGAAGGCAGAATACGAAATGTAAGACCAAAGCTTTTTTCTTTATTAATGTGAAATTTGAACTTCAAATGATGCAACAATTATGAAAGGAAGACAACTTTGCTAGGAGAAGTTATGGTAAGAAAAGGCGCATCAACTTTTTTACCAATAACGCATTGTGTCGTGAAGATTGGAAACCTCTGATTTACACTATAAATCTTGCAGGCTTGAAGCTTTAAATTCTAGTTTTTATGCACGAAATATCAAGTAGTAAATTGAATTTAAAATTTAATGAAATGAACTGAACGGTATGATTGAAATCAATCGTACTTTGCAATCTGTGAGATTAATGCGTATCCTAATGAACGCTACAAGCAAGACGCTAAACTACTGTTCCGCATTTATTGATGCATTAGAAAGTGTATGAAAAGAAGTTAAAAATGTTATAGCCGAGCGAGGTCGACAATTAAATACCTTGCATTGTCCTGGGAAAATATAATTTTTTGTTTAGTTCGCTTATAAAATATCCGAAAATTATACCTTGTGTGCAACTTTCAATGGGAATGCTTTCAAAATTTAAATACAATTTTTACATAAGCGCCTAATGGACCTATGTTCTTCACATTGCGCATAGTAAACAAAAATTGCCAACTTATGTTAATAATAAGACTTTGTTTGCACAAAGGTATGTTAAGCTTATGCGGATGTATGCAAGAAGCGAAGATCTTGAGGAATACTTTGAGAACTGGCTTTTATTGCATCACACAAAAAATGATTCTGAATCGATCTCAACTTATCTGTGCGTCTGTACGCCTTGTTTTGTTGTGTTGAACCTACTGATTGCAATTGGTATACAAAAGTTTTTTGGCCCAAGAATGAATGCTAGTGAAAACGGGACGGTTCGAGGCATTTTTTCGACACCTTCTCATATAACACCTTATTTTGGAAAGTAATTATATGAAGAAGAATGCTTTAAGCAAAGTAATGTTGGCTATTTAGTAACGCACCTTGTCCCACTATAATATTTTTACTTGTTTATGTCAAATCACTGTTATGGATCAATTGTTTCTTAAGAGAATATTAAATTTCAGATTTTTTCGCCATGTAAGGGATTATTTTTCATCAGAACCATTACGTGCTTGATACAAATTTTATATCAAATAACTTTTATTTTCATTCCTTTTCCAATACACATGCCCTCGGAGGAAGAGAAGTTCCATTTGGTTAATTTCAATATCAAATTATTGTTATGAACGATTCTTTCTTTTTTCTTTAACTATATCAAGATTTAGAAGAAGGTCAGATAGTAGTTCCGCGACAACTAAATTTGTCACATTGACTTAATAGACGAAAATAATATTATATGGAAATATTGTATAGCAGCTTTTACTAAAAAATACGGCCTTAATGCATTTAATAAAAATGTTTTCAATAGGTTCTCTTCTTCGGTCGAGACATATCAATGTGTCAAATTTGATCATTTTTTATCGCTCGGGAATTACAATCCATAAGTTAAACATAATAATAAGAGACAGACATCAGATAAAAAGGTAGATTTGCTTTTGGTCGATTCAGAAAACTAATCGGAATAGATCTCGCAAGTCGATCCGGTTATTGCATACATTCGCATGCAGTTAATTTTATTAGCCACAACTAGTGTAGAGTATAATTAATGAATTGGAATCTTGGCATATATCACGAAAAAACATAAACAACAACAACAACAAACAACTAACAAAATAACAAATTTTATTCTACACCATGCACTAAGCTATCTGATATTAAATATGAGAACTGCCATACGTTAAGTTTAAGGCGAACTCTGGATACATGGACTCAAGGCAGCTCTGTTGAGTTGCGTTGAGTTAAATTGAAATTTCTTATATTACATGTTCTTTAATGCAAGAATTTGGAGAATATCACATAACATGTAAGTTACATGAAATTAATATACACTTATTTACTGTTGTTTTGTATATTCTTTATGTGCATATATGCTCATATATAAGTGGAGTTGTATCAATTACTTTTTACTTTAATTTTTCAAATTCAAAATGTAATTAACATCACGTTATCTTCGTTAGGATGCCAAAAGAATATAATAATAATTAATTATTTATTATTATGTTTTTATTTGGATTAATGCTAACTGGCGACACTTAAATTGTAACATAAATAAATTCAATTAAGGTGGGATATCTTTGCTCTTCTCGAAGTTGAATAGTTCATATCCGTCTTATTAAATAACTTGATTTTATTTTTTTTTTCTCTAAAGAAGAAGAATACGTTAAGCATCACTTAATGAAATATTTACCGACTATCATCAGTGCATTAGGAGAAATGTGTTCTCTTAAATGGAATTATAATACAACATATAACGCATTAGCATACACATTTCCAAGGCGCAACGGACTTGAGCTTAAAGGCTATTTAAAGCGATCCATCCATTTATGATGGGAACAAAAAGGATGCTCAGATACAAGATGAAAGGGAAGGGAAGATGATCTCTTCGAAACGTAATCTTATAAACGAATGCTTGTGACTGTTATATTGATCATGGAGCGTTTGTTCTTAATTCACTGATAATTAGTATGATTAAATATATCTCTCTATTTCTTCTTCTTCTTCTTCTTCTTCTTCGTGAGTAGCGCTTTGCATTGCGACGATTTTAATGAATTCACTGCTTCTCATTCTCACTTGTTGTCCTGAATCAAATATTTTTCGAAAAAGTATTCCGGTTATTGTCAATCAATAAATTTTCACACAAAAAATTTTATTCACATTAAAATCATTAAACAGAAATCAAGAAAACGAAAACAATATTATCGCTATATTTTCGAATTAGAATTGTGGTAGCGGAGAAAGAAAAAAAATGCTTATTTTTACAACTTATGCTATCTTTAAATTGGCGATCACGATGTGCATTGCAATGTTTGTGGGGTCTCATTGTGCTCTTGTGCCAGAAAACGACGGAGATGAGGAACATCGTACCGAAGATGCTACAGATCTCTCCACTTTGGAACATAGAATGCGGCAAAAGTATTATAACGATTTGGTGCGCGTGAAGGGAAAATTATTCGCTTCGCAACATGCACTATTGGCGGATGATATCGATTCCAATACAGAAAATTCGAGTGAAACTCTCGAAACCGACACTCTTGCTATATCCGCTAAAACTGCAAATAA